GAGTTCACCGTCCAGAGGTTGCAAAGGTAAGTAATATATGAAATTAATTCCTCCAGGGTTCTGAATTTATTGTCAAAGGAGGCGGTTGTTTCTTTCGTCCCAAACACCCCACAACACTGCATGTAGCACTGATTACCAAAAAACTTTACCCCTTTTACTTAACCCTGTTCCTTGCCATTGATGCAAAGTGTCAATAATGTGCTTTGGTATAACCCATCTATAACCTGCCATTTTCAAGAAATGGAACCAGATCTTTTGGGTGAATTTGCAGTGAAGAAAAATGTGATATGCTGATTCACCTTCACTGGAGCATAAAATACAAACATGAGGAGAGATGGACAGTCTTCCCAAATACTTTTTCGCCAGTAGGGTGTAGGGTCCAGATTCGAGTGTCAGAATAGGAGGGGGAGATGTAGGCTTCTTTAAGGGTCTGAATTAGGTCTATTAATTCAGAAATCTCTGAATCCCTTAGGGGTCTTCTGAGATGGAGGTTTAGGGTGTTCTCGGCAGTTTGGTTTGGAAGGCAGGAAGAAATAGTGGCTTCTTGGTCAAGGGTAAGGTTAAAAAGCATAGGGAAAGAGGTTTCAAGGATAGTTTCCCTCCACCATAGGTGTTTCCAGAATTTTATTTTAAAACTATTTCCCACTTTATACCTTATAAAAGGAAAGAAAGAAGTGTGAATGGAGATGATACCTTTCCAAGGATTTGTGGACTTTATCCTGTTCAAATGAAGATTGCTATCCCACCCATTTGCATTTGATCCATATTTTCTTGAGATGACAGCTATCCATAGAGCATTGGGTTCTTTAGGGAACCTCCATAGCCATTTGCCTAAGAGAGAAGAATTTTTCTCTTTTAAGTGTCCAATTCCCAAACCTCCTTCCTCTTTAGGCTTGCATACTTGTTTCCAATTGACTAAGTGGCTTCTTTTTTCCCCACCTCCTTCCCAAAGAAAGTTCCTTTGAAGCTTCTCAATCTGATTTCTGACTTTGGTTGGAATTTGGAAGACTGAAAGGATGTAGACTGGCAGATTTGCTAAAGAGGCCTTGAAGAGAGTAAGCCTACCCCCTTTTGAGAGATAACACTTCTTCCAAGTTGATAGTTTCTTCTCACATTTCTCCACCACTGGTCTCCAGAAGTTGAGAGATATTGGATTCCCTCCAAGAGGCATCCCAAGATAAGAAATAGGAAGATTCTCCTCTTTGCATTCCAACAAAGATTTGAAATTTTCTAGAAGTTCCACTTCTACTGAGTTAAGAGCTACTATACTACTTTTGCAAAAGTTAACCCTCAAACCAGTGATAAGTTCGAAACATTCAATTATCCTTTTAGTGTTTGTGATGTTAGTTATGGAGGCATCCAAGAACAAAATTATGTCATCAGCAAATTGTAAATGTGAAATGTGAATCTTGTCCCTTCCCACTTCAAATCCTTTCACCAAGTTAAGAAGAATAGACTTATCAAATTGATAGTTAAAGATGCCCATCACTAAAGTGAATAGAAAGGGGGAAAGAGGGCAACCTTGTCTGAGACCCCTACTAGCCTTGAAGTAACCTTTCACTTCACCATTTATCAACACTGAAAACCAAGGAGAACCAATACAACCTTTAATCCACCTGATCCATTTTCTACCAAAGCCTCTAAGCTTTAAGCAATCTAAAATGCAGTACCAATCCACTTTATCGTACGCGTTTTCCAGATCTAGTTTCACAAGGACCCCCTGGTTCCCAAAAGATTTTCTGTCTTCTACACACTCATTTGCAATTAGAATGCTGTCCACAATTTGTCTCCCTTTTACAAAAGCAAATTGGTTTGGGGAAATTAGGTCTTCTAGGACTTCTTTAAGTCTGTTGGCCAGAACCTTCGCCAAAATTTTATAGATGCTCCCTATCAATCTTTATACCGACCATCCTAGCTCCTTCTAACCCCTCCTTCTCCTCCTGCCTACCTTCTTTTGTTCCCTCCAGGGTGTCATTCTGGGTTGGCTTTGTCTGGGTAATGAGTTGGTTTAGGCTAGCATCAGCACAATCCAAACCTAAGGTTGGGTCAGCTAGAACTTCCAGGATTAAAGATACAACTCTAGCCCTCTCTTCCTCTACCCTATCAACCACCAGATTGTTTGGCTCCAAGACTGTGGCACTTCGGATTGAGAGTTCCATAGTAGTTGGGGTTTTGACAGGACCTGCACAGGTAGCCAAGCACAAATTAGAATCCTCTTTAGTAGGAAACAAAGGATTAGAAGATGGAACATGAGATAAAAGTGTAGGGGTTCCCTGATTCGACAAGTCCAAATCCTTCCTTCGATCAACGCCTGCTAAGTGAGAGTCCTTGGCAGGTAAAACTGGGATAGCATCTAAATTCTGTTCCTCTTGTGTATCTTTGCTTCGGATAGTGCTGATATCCGGTTCTCTGTCTTGAATATCCTGAACTTGTGTCTCCCTTGGTATTTCTCTTGGACCACTGTTGGCTACATCTAGGTCCACCTTAGAGATTGAGGCAAGTCTCACCACTGTTTCTTCTTTTGGGGCCGACATGGAGGCACTAGAGGGTTCTTCAAACAGTATCTACATACCTATTATCTCATCGTTCAACATATTGTAAGTTTTAGTGGGTGAACCACTTCCGATGCTACTTTCGTCGTGCCAAACATCATCTTGCCTTAGGTCTTTCCAATCATCTTCTTCCTCAAATTCTTCACACTCGGGCCTGTTAAATTTTGGGTTCGGCTTGTCTGGGGTTGTGGAGTTTGTTTTCACAACCGGCTTCCATTTCCAACTGCTCTCCGACCGGGCACTTCCTACACCAGCGTTGCCGAATGCTCTCAAAGGGGTCTTGATAGAGTTTTCCGCAACCGCTGCAACAAAGGGGGTTGCAGGGTTCGATTTGGACGATGATAGACCCCAACAAACATCCCCAATCCTTTGGGCCGGCCTGCTCACATGCATTTTTAAGTGGTCACGTGACCTGTTTGGATTATAACTTGGTATTGGGTTGTCTAGTTTGACCGGTTTAACGCCTAAGTCAAATTTTAGCGCTCTTTCAAAAATTTCTCCTTTATTTCCGCCCCCTCCAGCTGCCACTTCAGCATAGGGCCTTTTAGTAGCCCCTTGATCTGAGATGGATAGCCCAGATTCTAGTCCCCCTTTAGAATTCTGACCGTCCTCTTTCGATTTCCAGTCTTCCCGTTTGCCTTCTTCTTGTAAAAACAGTCGGACTTCTCCTCCATACTTACCCCTTCCTTGACACTTGCCACACCATCATCTTCTACCTCCCGCAGGCTTTTACAGAGTCTCTCCTCCACCGACGACAGCAACCAGACTACCTCATGCGTTTCACCTAGTTCCAACCTTACTGTTCTCGGTATTGACTCTAATTTAACTCCTCCCAATTTCATCGAAGCTGCACTGAGATTGGACAAGTCCAATTCCTCCAGGACTCCTCTGCACAGTTCTGCGATTTTCTTGAAGTTTGCAAGGGACCAAAGATGAAATGGGAGCCCTAGCACTTTGAGGCGGACAATTTCTCTCTGGTCTACATGATTAGCATTTGGACACCACTGACTGATCACCATTACTCCTTCAGAAGTCTGAATAGGAAGCACATGTATTTCTTCCATCAGATTGTCTACTTCTAGTTCTAGAAGTGCCTTATCTTCTTGAAACGGTTGAAGATCGAAGTGTCCACCCACTTTCAGCTTTCGTTTAATCTCCTCTGCAACACAGCCCCAACTACCTACTCTTTTGTTTGCAAGTATCACATATTTTTTACGCCAGTTCTGGGAGGTTTGATCTTCATTACCTACAACATCCTTTTCACCATCTGGATGTGGTTGATTTTCTGGTGCTTGGTTGGGTTGGATATTTCTTGGTCTCTTTTCATTTCTCCATAAAAAGATCTGCAACTCCCTTACGAACAGCATCCACCCCTTACTCTGTTTTCCCATGGGGATACAAATCATTTGTCTCTACCTTCGCCGAACCATTCTGATACTGTTGCGAACCAGCCCTTCCTATTGAATTGAAGTGCAGCTACGAATACCTTTCCATTGATTTTGATTGAGTTCTTCCAGGCTTGTGTTTTCCTTGACACTAAAGCTACGTCTAGGAAGCCTTTCAGCCAAGATGCTACCTCCTTTTGGAGATACACTGTGGCTCTTTTTTCTTCTCTTATCTTCAGGAACACCAGAGACCTTGTTTTCACTTCTTCTAGTTTGTATTGCTTTGCTTCGAGCGAAACTTCCTTTCTTCACCTTCCCACTACTTCGAACTTGCCCTCCATTGACACAGTCACCTCCACAACTTTGTCATTAATTTTAGCATTTATTGACAAACATCCACTAAAGAAAAGATATTTTTTTTTAAAAAAATAACTCATGATTATGCTAAGCAAATGGGGCGTAGCCCAGTGGTGGACTTAGAGAGAGAGATGGCCTGTATCGGGGCTTGATGTTGCAATTGTTTTTGTTTTCAAAAACAAAACAAACCATGTTGTCGATTTTAGAAAATGTTATATAGTTTATTTTATTTTTTATTTTTCACGGTTTCACCAAGTTGAAGCGAAAGGCAGTAAGGTCTATGCCTCATTAAACTTGAGGCTTAGCCTCAGATATAGTATAGAAGGCAGCTGATGCAAGGTGCTTTGGCTGCACCTTGCCTTGCTTCATGCACTTCAGTGCCTTTTAAAACCATGTTAATAAGTGATATGACATCTGATACCTCATGATTCCTATGGCCTCTCTCAAAAGCAAAGTTCCAAGATTGATATTGCTAGAAGAGGAGTAAAATGTAGATAATGGACAATTTTTATAGAAGAAATAGAATATGCCTTAGAAATTTGTGCATGGTACAGTGTGCATGTGCTATTGTTATGTGTTCCTCATTATATTGAAGGATATAGGTGTTTATTTTACCATTCACGATACAGTGTAACTCCATTCAATTACTGTGTGTACACACAAATAAGTTGTCAATAGCTTGGTGATCGTGGGCTTTTGATTGCAGGAACTGCATTGCCTTGGAGACCTTATGTGAGCGTATACTACAGGGCACATCTTTTGTTTGAAAGGGCTGATGACAGAAAATGGATTCCTGAAGAATATGAACTTATAAAGAGGTGTGTTTAATCATAGAGTTGTTTTTTTCTCTCCATTCACAATCATGTGTTTGTGGCTTGTCATGATATGTTGACTGGATACAGATAATGTGTGCAAAAATTTATGTAAGACAATGGTCATCTTTTATTATTTTTGTGAAAATTCTCAGTTCTTATAGTAATTCCTACTAATAAATTTTCATACTAATGACCAACAAGCTGTATTATAGGGTTTATGAAAAACATGGAGCAGACTGGAAGATGGTTGCTGATCAACTTGGTAGACATAGATTCCATGTAAAAGATACATGGCGCAGGTTGAAAGTGATTAACAGGAGAAAAGGTAAAAACAAAATTTTACCATATATGCACCTACCAGATTTTAGAGCTTTGGAACACTTGGAAGATTTTGATTATGTAGGATGTGAATATGATCATTGTGCATAGTTTGCCTTAGTTACCTCAGCATGTTGAGTATGTTAGTACGTAATTGTTGACTGGGCCAATTGTTCTTTCTTTACATATTTTTTCTCATGAATAATTTTCTCTCTATTGAGAAAGGAGGAATTCTATGGGTGGAGGAACTTGCCAATTGAAGTGAGCCTGCTGTTTGATTCGGCCTCCTTTGTTTGGCCCACAAAAAGGGGAAGAATCATGTGGAAGTGTATTAGAGCAGCTACTTTATGGACAATCTGGGAAGAGAGGAACTCTAGAATCTTCCAAGAGAAGGAAAGGAATTTATTGGAATTAATTGAGTGCATCCTAACAAGGGCAGTATATTGGCTGAAAACCTCGAACTCCTTTTCAGTTCTTTACCTTTGATGACTTTTGGAGGAACTGGTTGGAAGTGGCAAAGAGCTTTATGGGAAGAAACTGACCCCTTATTGGACTCCACCTTTGGAAGGGTTTATAAAACTGAATTTTGATGTGAGCAGTCAGGGTAATCCTGGCTTTTCAGGAGTAGGTGGGGTCTTGAGAAATGAGGAAGGTTCTGTCTTGTCTTTGTTTTCAGGGCCTACTAGGGCTGAGCTGCTAGCTGCTGTGCAAGGCATTCAGATTGCAAAACTACTCGATATGATGAGCTTAGTCATAAGAGGGTATTCTAAGGTGGTTGTGGGGTGGTTGCAGTATCCAGATTCTGTTAATTGGAAGTACAAGGATTTGCTAAAGAAAGTTAAGTGGTTGACACCGCATATGATAATTAGGTAACAATGGGTCAACAGATTGGCTAATGCAATGGTAGATTTTTTAGACAAAGAAGGGGCTACTGGGGATTCTCTTTTCTGGTCTGTGTTGCAATTTTCAGTTTTCAGCTTTAGTTGGTGTGGCTGCATCTCACACCCCCTTGGTATGCTTGTATTAGTCTTTATCTTTTGATAATAAAATCTAATTCAATTATAAAAAATGAAAGAAAGGAAGAGTTCTAGTTTTATTTTGATAAGCAATAATATATTCCTTCTCTTCTTATTTTTCTATGCAATAAATAATTTCCTCTGCAACTTTAGTCTGGCTTAACTCAAAATTCAACATGATAGCTTCTGGGCAGAGTTTGGTTTATTTTGAATCAGTTAATGTTCACAGTGTCTGCATTTTTTTTTCCATGGGGTTAATAGTTTTGACAGATACACACACACACACACACACTCTCTCTCTCTCTCTCTCCCTCATCTATGCTAAAATCTTTCTCCTTTTCAAGTGTCACATTTTGTTTTTTCCTGAATGAAACAGGACAGTGGACCCAAGACGAATACCAGAATTTGTTTGATTTAGTGAACATGGACTTGCGCATGAAGGCCTTTGAGGAAAGGAAATCTAAGCATGGCATGGTTGGTGCATTTATTATCTTTGTTCAGTCTAGCTTGTATGCTTGTCATTTTAGTTTTTCTGTTGCAAGCACAATTCATAATGTTGTGATTTTCATGTTCATCTTGACTTCAACTATAACTGTATGTTTTTTCTTTTTTATCTGCTAAATCAATACCTCATTGGATGTTGTACAGTTACGAGATAATATCCGTTGGGGAGCTATTAGTGACAAGTTGGGGACTAGACCTGGTCATCTTTGCTGCTCTAAATGGTACATTTTCATTTTATTGTCTGGTTGACCTTTGGATTTTAACATGAAATGGAGAAACCACCTTTTGTTTGTCAAAACAAGAGAAAAAAGTCGAGGATTTCTGAACAAGTGAAACCATTGGGGGTTAGTATCATGTGGCCTTTCATTGGATGTAATAGTAGCTATTACCTTGGTTTTGGATGTCTTGTCAGGAAAAATTTTATTGAAAATACTGTCATGTGTCATGAGCATGAGGCAAGAAAGTTTCACGAAAGGGTCTGCAGTGGAGGAAGACCAGGCATTGGTGGGAGAACATAAGGGTCTGCAATAGAGTGTTCTTTAGGAGATAGTAGCATATTAAAGTTTGAAGGAAACTTAAATTGTCATTGGGTGGGTGCAGGAGGTGTATTAGGTCCATGGCAGATCGATCATTTCCTTGTGGAAGCTAGTATGAACATATTGGGATCTTCTGCACTTGTTGTGCACTTGTTTTCAGTCTGACAGGTTTTGCATTAAACCTATGTAAATGCCCATGCATATGGGACCACACATGTTGTTGACTGGGACCACACATGGGATACCTGTTGTTGACTGAATGCAAGTGCAGCACAAACAAGTTCAGCAGATCAGGACTCAGTATAAACACTTCATGGAACTGGGCCCCAAAGATCAGCAAATGGTTTGGGTGGACTCTGGCTAGAGAGGGGTCCTAATTATCGGCAAATGAACTGGGTCCCTGTTCCATTTCATGGAACTGGATCCTGGATTAGGTCATATTGCTATTTTGGGATATACTTTGTGCCTGGGATGATCTAATCTTATGAACCAGCTCTTTTTTTTTTTTTTTTGATCAATTATGAACCAGCCCTATTTCCTCCATGTAGGGATTTCTATTTTTCACTCCTTTTTTTTCTTATTTCATAGAAGTTTCTGATGTGTTATTAACAGAAGAGAAAACAATATGGTCTTTTATCTCTGTCCAGCAAAGTTAGCCTCAAACAGTATGATTTGTTCTTCATTTATGTTAACTTAGTGTTGCCAAGAGTGAATAGTATTGCAGCCTTGTACCATGGTACCATCTAGAATTAACTTAAGAGGGTCGAATTTGTTTGGAAAATTTTTAATAGAAACTTGATGTCCAAATTTTCCTTCTCTTATGATGCCTGAAACTTGTGTTTTTTTTTTCCAGGTATGGCCAATTAACATCATACATGGTATCTGAAGGAAATTGGGCTGATGTTGATGATTATCGGTTGCTGAATGCGTAATGATCTTAATTCTCTCTCAGTCTCTTTTATCTGTTCATATATTGTTGAACAAGATGCCATATGTAGTGAAAACGCAAAAGGTTTCTTCCTGTCTGGTACACAAATGTATTTATCCTTGGTAGTGGGCTGGCAGGCACTGCCAAGGGCATTGTCTACATTAAAGAATCAAATTGTGTGGATGACATTGGGACTCCATGCATTTGGCTATTGGCTGCATTGGGAACAACCATTTGAAGGATTATGGACATTGAGACTCCATGCTACATTAATGGCATTGAGGGTATTCCCATTTTAGTAAAGGAGGATTAGCAGAAGCTACCTTCCCTCCCTCTAGGACATGCATGCCATTGACTTTCTAGGCTAATATAAACCTTAGAAGATGATTCAGATCTCTACAAGTCATTTCTAGCATATACTTGTTTGGTATCCAAAGTAATACATATGAGATGGTTAGGATCATCATCAGTTGATTGTAAGAGCCATTGATGGACCCATGATCCAGTGGATTCCAAAACCTGTGGATACAGTGCACATTAAGGACTGTTAGGTTTGTATTTAGTGCACTCCTCCCAAAGACTGCAGATACGCAGGACTGACATTAAGTAATGGTCTTAGTGAGCTTGTGAGAGACTGAAGTTGTACAGTTATCTGAGCTGACAAATTTTCAATTTTTTGTTCAATTCAGTCAATTCAAGTTCATTTCAAGATCCATTGAGGAGTATATTTTATTTCTGATTATACCGATTCAATCAAGTCAACATGAGTAACCTGATTGGGTTTGGCTGGTATAGAAAATAGTTATGGTCTTGTCCTCCCAAACTCTTCAAATTAGTTGCTTAGATCTTTTGTAGCATATTATTCTTTTTTGAGTAATAAAAACTTATGGCCTATTCATTAAAATTCAGTTCAAGAATTTAAATTTGGGGGTTTTGTGGCTTAGGTAGATGATGCTTTAGTTCTTGCAAGTGTGTCCTGAGGGTTTTATAAACTAGTTGTTAAGCTTAAACAGAACCAAGATGGTGCTTTCTAGGAGATGAAGTTTTATCCTTGCCTTTTGTGTGACCTTGGCCCAAACTTGTACTTACATGATTTTCTGCTTAATTTATTTATGTTTAACTGTTGCAGACTTCTTAGCCTGGATGCTTGCTGCATGGAAGATGTTGATTGGGATAATCTCCTTGAGCACAGGTAAATCTAATGAAATTGGGGGTAATATGTGGAATCCTCTGCTGAAAGATAATATTTGGTAACTACCAAGTCGTTTATGTGCCATGGTTCCCCCGCTTATTTTTTCAGCTAATGGTGGGCTACTCTTGGACTCTAACCTTTTTGCTACTCAGTTCTATTGGATCAATCCTTCTCTGTTTAGTGGTTGATACTTATTTCAATTTCCATCACATATATTCATCACACATTCTAGAAAAATATACCATGTTACCTTCAGCTATTTTTTTTTTTTTTATCAGCACCTTCGGCTAATGTTCTTGTTGGTTACCCAATAAAGTTTTGGGTAAGTGATGCTATACGGGTGGGGTATTATTAGATCTAGGTTTTTGGTTCTATGGCTTCTAGTGCCTAAGATGCAAGGTGCAAACTTTGGAAATGATTTTAAAAAATTCAATAATACATAAAAATGTGAACATGCATTTTAAAAGAAATTAATTGTTTTAAAATGCTTATTGGCTCAAATTAAAATACATAAGCATAACATATAAAACATATTCAAAGTGAAATGTGGGAGTTAAAATCCAACATGTGTGGGTCTTCAGAAGGTGCTTTGTTCATCCTACTATTTTTTTTTGATAAGCTTTGAGCATCCAACAACAATTTAAGCATTGTGAAACTTCCAATCTATTTATTTATCTCCTATTTGCATTACTTCAATTAGATGGTCTGCTGTTAAACATCATGCATCCTTAATCCTAGGGGTTTGGCCCTCCATTTCCATCAGGCCCCTTTAGGGAAGCCCAAATAAGTCTGTGAAAGGGATTTTTCTATTTGAGATTCTATTTGCATTAACAACAGCTTTGGGTATTTGAAATGTCGTTGTTTTCATTTATTTTAAAAGTTAATAAACTGTTACTAGTGTACAAACAGCAATAAAAGATAATTTAGAAGTTGATAAACCATTACAAAGGTGCAGAACACATAATAAACAAAAAATTACAAAAAAAAGCATATTGAAAACGGTGTGGTGTGCCTGTGCTGAGGTGCAAGGTGCAATATGCATGCCATTTGAAAGTGGCTGTATGTAGGTTCAGGCAAGGTGCATGCCTCAAAATGTGCTTTGCTTGTGCACCTAGATGCACCCTTCCATTTAAACATTGTCAACAATTTTTTTTTATGAATAATAATGCAATTTTATTGAAACAGAATTAAACATTGTCAACAAATATTGCAATTCACTCCACCCGTGGGGGCTGAATCACAATACAATTCACTCTTTCCCTGGCCAAACTGCTTGAGAACTTAATTTTTGATCCATTTGAATGAAATGTTCACTTTGGAGGAGTTAAGAGAGTTTATCTCCCTGCCTTTGTAATTATTTTTATTGTTTAATGAAATGCTTTTGTTATTGATAAAAAAATGTTCACTCTGGAGGCCAACAATTTAGCCTCTCAATATAGTGTTTGGGAGACTAAAGGGACCGCATCTTCACATCTCATCTAATAATTATCTAAGAATCTCCCTTCTCATCCACTCGAGGTGGTCCTTGAAAAGTACATCTGTCAAAGGTTATGGAGAAGAGCTAGGATCTCTGCTCTAATTTAATCTCCTTGAGCAATGAGCTTCCCCCACACTTGAGGACTCCTAGTTCCCAAGAATTGAGATTGATTGCTTCTTGGAGAGAAGGCTAGCTTTGTTATATATCTGCATTTAGGATGCATCTTAAACTAGCAAAAGACATCTTAGGAAAATTTGAAGGGAAATGGGAATGTGCTAAAGAAACTTGGTGGTGGAATGAAGAGGTTCAAAATATAATTAGATTAAATTGAGCATATTACAGAGTATGACAAAAGATTACAAATGTAAAAAAAATTGAGGAAATATAAAATCATAAAAAGGAAGTTGAAAAGAAAGTGAAGTCAAACTTAGGGCATATAATGAGCTTTATCATAAACTAGGCACTAAAGAGGGAGAAAAGGAATCTATAAACTAGCAAAGATGAGATAAAGGAAAGGTAGAGATTTAAAACATATTTGGTGTATTAAAGAAGAAGATTAAATGGTATTGATAAAAGATGAGGAAATCAAGCAAAGATGGAAAAGCTATTTTTAGAAGTTATTAAATGAATAATATATAGAGGATGCTAATGGAGGAGAGACTAGTAATATAAATAGTGTTAAAAATAATATATACTTTTGTAAAGTTAGAACTACTAAAGTTAAAGAGGTGCTAAATAAGATAAAGAAGGGAAAAGCATTAAATCTTGATTGGATTCTAAAGAAGTATGGAAAGGTAAGGGAGGTGATTTGTTACAAGTGGAAGAGGCTAGAAGAGCTAGGGGTAGACCAAAAAGGACATGGGTGGTAGTAAGAAATGGTTTAAGGACTAATTATTTAATAGTGGATATTGGCTTTAAACAGAACAGATTGACGTGGTGCCTATATTTAAGAACAAAGGCGATATACAAAGTAATAATTAAGGGTGCAGGTCGGGCTAGGTTAGGTCGGGTTGATGTCAACCCTAACCATAGTTGTCAAGGTGTCGCCTAGTGTGTAGGCACATTTTGGGGCTTGCCTCATTCATACACCATATGATATATATCAATGTTTTAAAAGGCGTTGGGGGGGGGGGCACCTGCGCGCCCCGCCCTGTGGCATATGCCAAAGGTGTTGACACCTCTTACGTGTACACCTCAGGTGCAAGAGGTGTACGCCCCATATGCTTTTTTCATGGGGTGTGCTAGAGGCATACGCCTTATGTGCCTCATGCACACCTCACATAAAAAGACAGAAAAAAAGAAAAAGAAAGAAAAAAAAGAAAAGGAAAAGAAAGGAAAGGGAAAAAAAAAAGAAAGAAAGAGAAGAAAAAAGTGAAAAAGAAAGAAAAGGAAAGGGAGGCTTATGCGCCTTGTGTTTGGGAGGCTTATGTCTTTTACATTCTGAATTATGCCTCATGCCTCTAGGTAGTGGAACACCCCGTATGCCCCGATCGTATCAGGGCCCCTTTGATACACCCCTACACTTAGTGTTTCAGGGTTCCACCTATTTTAGGGGGTAGATAGGCATTAAACCAACCCCCTGAACTAGGTATAAAGAAAAAAAAAAAGCTAAAAGAATAAATACGAGCTTTGATTGCGTATCAGACTATATCGATATTTTGAACCTTGGCTCTACCCTTTCTCCATCATTTTTGAGAATTTTCTTTCTTCTAAGACAAGAATAGGGGCTCTGCCCTTCTTTATTTTCTATTTCAATGGAAAAAAATAGGGGCACATTCCCCTTTTGTGCATTTCTTTTTAAGACAAGCAGTGCCTAGGTGGCGACTAGGCGACTAAGCGCTCCCCTATCACCTAGGTTTGCCTTGGCGCCTTGAAAACTATGACCCTAACCTAACTTGAGTTTTGAACCCCCAACCCTAACCCAATCCGTTAGGATTGGGTTCAGTTCTAGTCGGGCTTAGGTTAGTCTCGGTTGGCCCAACTTCTCTACTTTCCTTTTTGCCAAATGTAGTTATTTTCTAGATTCTAAGGGTTCATGTTAATTCAATATTAGCATTGTGTAAAAGAACATGGTTATCATGATTTAGAAAAAAAATGGCTTTAAACTAAACTTTTAACATACAATATACATGCAAGCAAGTATAGATATATAAATATGCATATAAAATACTTGTATAAAAAATGCATAAATATACATTTATAGGTTCATAGTTGCGCATATACATACATGCATAAATAGTGAATACACATATACATAAGTTCTTACATGCATGAATACATATTTATATTATATTTATACATGCAAATATGAAGTTAAGTGAGGTTCGAGTTGAGTTGGGTTGGTCAAGGTTTTAACCCTAACCCAATCTGAAGTTAAATTGGGCTTGCGTTTATCAGCCCTAACTCAAACCTGAATTTCAATTCAAGCATACTTTTTCGGCCTGGGTTTGTGCTAATGTGACCCAAGTTGCAGCTCTAGTTATGATATCGAGGGATTAAGCTCATAAGCCACACTATGAAATTTTGGGAGAGAAAATTTGCGAAGAATACAACATGAAACAAGTATATCAGAGAACCAATTTGGGTTTATTCCAGGAAGATTAACCTTGGAAACCATCTTACTTTTAAGAAGATTGATATAAAAGTTTAGAGAGCAAAACAGAGATCTCCTTATTATCTTCATTGATCTAGAGAAAGCATTTGATAAGTTCCTATAGAGATAATAAGGTGGGTCCAATGTTTTAAAACGCAGAGGCGTGATGAGAGGTGTTACACAAATTGGAGGCGTGAGGTAGTTCAGAATGTAAGAGGCGTAATCCTCCCCAACAGGGAGGGAGAAGAAGGTGCCTTATATTGAAAAGAAGGAAGATGCATGACACTAGCTGAAAAGGGTATTTATCCAAAAAAAAACGCTAGCTGAAAAGGGGCCCAAACTTTCTTTCCCCTTCTCTTTGCTTCCCCTTTTCTTTCTTTTCTTTTTTCTTTCTTTCTGTCTTTTTTTTTTTGTATGAGGTGCATGGGGTGTGCACCTCTAGGATGCCTCATTTAAAAAGGCGTTTGGGGTGCCTTGTCTGGAGGCATGCCTCCAGGTGTATGCCTCCCACACCTTTAAAATCCTTGTTGGGTCTTAAAAAAGAAAGTGGTTCAAAGTAGGTGCATAGACCTAATTAAGGATATGCATGGTGGTGCAAAAACCAATGCTAGAACACCTGTAAGAGAACATATTTTACAGTTACATTGGGTCTTCACCAAGGTTTAGCAATTAGCCTTTATTTATTTGCATTGATCATGGATGATTTGATTCACCTATTCATGAGGTTGCTCCATGGTGCATGTTTGTTGATGATATCATTTTAATTGATCATGGATGAATAGTGTTGGGCAATCAAGAAACATGTTCAGAAAATGAGTGTGGCACAAATGTGTATGCTGAGATGGATAAGTGGAAAAATTAGAATGGATAGGATCTGAGAGAAAGTAGACTAAGATGGTTTGGTCATGAACATGGAAGACCATCACAATATCCATAAGTGATTTATTACAAGTTGAAGGGGCTAGAAGGGCAAGGGTAGACCAAAAAGGACAAGGGTAGAAGTAGCAAGAAATGATTTAAGTGCCAAGGGATTAGAAATGGATATGACATTAAACAGAATGGACTGGCAAAACAGGATTAGTGTAGCCGGCTCCATATGGTGGGGATAAGGCTTGGATGGTGACGATAATGGAAATTCTTACAATTAGTTCCCCAATAGAACTATCCCTCAGAATGTTTAGTCCTCGTAGGCTCCTTATCTAAGCCAAATTGTCATCCATTACATTGGCACATCTAAGCATTCAATGGAATGTTAATCAGTTCAGTTGCCAATTTGCCAACTTCCCACATGAGATATTTGTATTCCCAATTTCGCACTGGAACAGGGCCTTGTTTGACTGCCACGGACAGAAGGGTAGAAGTGGTGGAGAGAGCGAAAAGGTAGGAAAACATAGAAGCAGAGAGGTATTTAAGGAAGAATATAAGGGATGTTAATGAGGATAGTTCAGAGGAGAAGATGGATAAGATTGGGTCTATTGAAGGAGGGGAGAGAGTGGGGGATGCAGAAGGGAGTGGGGTTGAAGAAACAGCGGTTTATCAAAGTAAAAGGATCTATAGGGCGAAACCTCTCAATGAAGATTTGAATGACGAAAAGGAAGTGGAGGAAGATATGGTTATGATGGATGAAACTCATGAAGTCAAGGGGAAAGCTGATCTGGAAACAGTTATTGACAAAGGGGTGGAGGTTAGTAAAATTCTAGGTTTATTTTTCCTGAGTGGAGAGGAATTTGCTAGAAAAGCCTTTATGGAAGTGGAAGAATTGGCCGGGGGATCATTGGAAGAGAAGGCTGAAGGTCCAAACTCTGTTCTTGGGACTTAAATTGAAGATGAGAAGGGTGTGGTTTTGACAGAGGGGCAAGTATTTGAGAAGAATGTGGTTTTAGAACTATGAAAGGATTAATGATAACTATGGGCAGAGAAGAAGGATTAAGGCTAATTCTTCTGCTGTTAAACGATTCAAACATCAGAATAGTTGCAGAACTGTGACTGTGTTGAAGGTATTTGATAGATTTGAGGGGAGGTCTATTTGGGGTCGGAATTAAGAATAGGGTAAAGAAGACTAGAAGGGCTTTGAAGAGGAAAAAAAGAATGTAATTTTTGAATAGAGGAAGGTTTGAAATGATTGAATCCTAAATTTAGTCTTAGGAAAAAGTTTATCTTGGGGCGGTTCTAGTCTGGGCTTGGGATGATGGGAGGAAAGGATAAGGGAAGGTTTTGGTTGCACTTTTTGCCTCGGGTTGGGTGGTTTTGAGGGTTTTCTGTGTTCTGGTTTATGATTCGATATTTTATGGGTTTGGGTGATATCTTATCACCCCTTCTAATCTTTTTCTCTTTTCCCTAATAATTTTTTTCCTTTATTTATAAAAAAATACCAGCTCACCACTACCATTTCATAGTTGAGGGTTTGGCTCAATCTTAAATCCTGTAGAACTGCCAAGGGTTCTGCCCTTGGAAATTGTTGACACCCCATTTAAGTGGTTTTTGTTTGTGGTTCTGAAAAAGACTGGTATGGTTCTGGAACCATACCATTTTTTAATGACAATGCTTTTCTTTAAGCATGATATGTGAGTCTTGAATATATGGTTCTTGTGTATATGTATGTTCACTATTTACTTCTGATCATAATACAGTCATTATTAAGTAGAGATGTTATTGCTAGAACTACATTGGTGTGTGAGAGTCACCATATAACATCTCCTGGTTGGGAAAGCTATAAAACATTGTGTTCAAAAAACGCCCATTTTGCTGATTTTGGAACCATGCTTTGCTGAAGGTGCCAGCTGCCTTCTTGTGAAGTTTTTACTCTTTAGCTGGTTGTAGTGGAGTCTTGGGATCAAGTCCCACTTTCACCGGTTGGGGGTTCTAAGGGTTGGGGCTTCTCCCTGCTGTGTTAGCCTGTTAGCCTACCAAATGAAAGAACCATGTATTGCTGGTTGTGACAGGGTACAGAATGCTCTTTCCTGCTGTGGCATATCTGTGAACCAAATGGAACACCAAGGCAATCATAACACACCCTTAGTTCAAATAGTGGCCTATACAACTTGATGTCTTTAAAATTGTGCTTTAGGTTGCTTTTGTTTCCGGTGCAAAAACAAATATGCACAGTTCAAAACCCCCCTTTGACCAGTTCATGAATGCATAGTTTAGTTTTGATAAATTTTGTATTCCTACCAAATGGTTTTTAGTTATAATGAGTACAAACATGAATTGCAAGACTGAAATCTACCTTTTTTACATTGTCCAACTTTGTGTGCAAAATTTGTATCAATTTTTTGGATACAAACTTTGCTCTAATTTTGAGTACAAACTTATCTTGGAAGTTGTGATAACTGTCATTTCCAGTACACATTCATACCAAATGCTTGCAAAACTGAACCATGAGTACATAGATGTATTATCCAACTGGCATTTGCACTGCAAACAAACACAGGCAAAAAGGTTATTACATTATTAACTTTGTCTATATTTGTAAATGTACAAGCACATGTGCTTTTGTCAACTCTCAAAATTTTCATCTCTCCCCCTCACACACACACACACACACACACGATTTACTTGTTTCTCCAGCCTCTTTCTTGAGAGAGAGCATGTGCGTAATGAGGCTTGTCTGTGTGTTTCAATTTTCATAGATATTTGCAACCTTACATCTTGTAAATTGTTCCTCGAATCTGTGCGTTGTTTGTATCTTAAACTTGTCTTCTTTATATTCTTTTAATATGCTTGTCATTTCATTTTTCTTCAGGTCCGGAGATCTTTGTAGGAAACGTTGGAACCAAATGGTCCATTACTTGGGTGAGCATAAGACCGAGTCTTTTGCAGAACAACTAGAAATTCTCTCACAACGTTATTGCCCCGATGTACTAGAACCAAGATTAGCTTATGATAGCAAACCTGTTATCCCCTGAGGCTCACTGCAGATCATTGTTGTGTGTATCTCTATCTGCTATGGCCTCTGGAGAAGGCATTGTTATTGTGAATCTCGTGGCCTCCCTTTCTATCGAACAATTAAACCATCCCTGTAAATTGGAAGGACAAGATCCGCAACATACATTTACCATTGGAAGTAAACAAAAAATAAAGTGCAAAATATGGTTTTGTGAGATCATTTGTTATTTGGTTTGTAGTGCCGATGCTTCTAACTTTGGTTGTGCATCTATATACCATCAAGTTGTCACCACAGAGGCCCTTTTTGTTAAAGATTCTACTTGTATTATATAATTTGAATATAGGACAGGCGGTATAGGCATGAAAAAAGCGAAGAAGCAACAAGGGTTCGACTATGATATGGAAACGATATGATTTAAGGTGTTATTTATCAAAATTCATGGGTGGGTTTTGATTGGTCAAAACTCTTTCTTTGATTCTTATTTTAATTTTTCATGCTTTCCTTTCTCTACGATTACCCCATTTTTAACAACTGCTATTAGGTGTGCACCTTTAATGGTAGATAACCGATGTGCCATCACAATTGTCGTTCTATCCACCATAACACTGTCCAATGCATCCTGTACCACTTGTTCTGACTCGGTTGAATTGAATAAACTAGATTCATATTTCCTATACCCAAATTGAATTGAATTGGAGAGAGGGAAGAAAGCTTGGTTGGGTTGCACTGTTCAATCCTGTTGCAACCCATTGATAAACTTGTGGGCATTGGCCAACTCAGCTGCACCTAAAATTTCAGCCACTGTTGCATCCATATAAAAAATTAATGTGTACCAGAAGGATTTTTGTACATTGCACAGACACTTTAAAGAGAAATGTTACAAGGAAACCATGAGGGGAGAAAGAAGAGTAATGAGGTACATGCACAAACAGTATCATTGATCTTCCTGAATTCCTCCCACCACTGAGCATTATCATTGATCTCTCTTCCTCCGTTGGATTCTCCTTTTTCTCGAACACAGGGTCGTCGTTGAGAATTTTCTCAACCTCTGGTGTGTTTCTATGGTCAGGAAGAGTTTCGATCACATTCCCAGAAGAACTGATCGAGCATTTGCTTGTATTTGCCGGGCATTTCCGACGGATTTTTAGGGTTTTTTCCCTTTACCAAATGAATATGAACCAGAACCACAAATGAATGCAAAATTTGGTGCACTAGATAACTTAAGGAACTGAGAATTGTTGAAAGAGGTGTCGATATCTAATGGTATGGGGAGGGTGGAGTTGGAGAACTATTGTAGTAGTTAGTCTAAAAATTACGAAAAATAGTTTTTCATTTTGTTATAAATGATTTTCATTGTGGTGAATGAGCTGAAGTATGGAACCATTAATAATGTATTAAATTCATCCCTTCTTCCAAAAATTGCATAAACCTCCCAAATGTTTTTACCTCTGTACACTTCGATCTTTCCAAAATCCTCTCTTGACATTTCAAAGAAATTATAAAAAGACCCCCTTCCTTAGTTTGTTGTTAAGAACCCAACTGAAACTGAAAGACAATGGATTTACTTTTACCGGATATTGACAAAAATACCCATGAAAAACAATGTAAGAATGTTTATTGACAAAAATACCCCTAACGGATATTATGGTTTTACCGGTCAACTTATTGGTTGAACTGTTCAGCCTATGCCAATTCCGCCATGAATGACAACCAACCATTCCTACTTCTTTTTATTAGTCAACCATTACAAATTTTAGTCTCTCCCTCTTTCCTCTCTCTTCTCTATTCTCTCTCTCTCCCTCCTCTTCCATATATGTATCTATAAATCAATAAATGCACGTGGTGCTCAACTCTTTGAATATAACATAGGAAGATACCTGTGCCAATCTATTCAAGCTGACTTTTAGTTCTATTAATAATACAGGGGCTTCTTTTGAAAGCAGGAATTTCAACTTCTAGAGCTACGTACTACGTACACTATATCGTTGTTGAAAGTTGTTGCATGATAATTGTATATATTTTCAATCAATATTCAAAATATCGATATGTCCGATATATTGGTAAAGGCGTATCAGACAGTATCGGTAGTTTTTTATTTATTTTTAAATCCGATTCAGAGGGGGTGGTTTAAGATCCGTGTATGCCCTGAACCGGTCAAAACCCTGATATACCCTCTGTAGGGGCGTATCGGGAAACTCCCGATACAATCGATACTTAAAACCTTGTTTTCAATAGTAAATTAAAGCTAATCTCCCTTGGCGAATATAGTACTAGAACAAGGATTATGAAAAAAGTTTCTACACCTTTTTGTTCATTTTATTTCACTATTAGAAGAGAGAAACTAATTTGAATTATAAATCTTTGGTTGATTAGTATGTTGAGTTAGATATTTGAGACAAGTCTCCCGAATATTTGAAGATATTCTATGCCCTATTTTGCTAGATTTCTTGTTATTTGAGTGTCCATGTTACCAAGGATGCATTTGCGAAGAGTATAAATACATAAATGCGGTACAAAACCAATTGTCTGATTCAAAAAAAATGTAAAGTTGGTTTAGTTTTATAATGGTTTTTAATTGTGACTTGTGAGAGGTACAAACAAGAATTTCAAGATTGGAATTCACCTTTTCTACGTTGAACAACTTGAGTTCAAAAGTTTGCATTCATTTTTTGGATGCAAACTTTTGCTCTCATTTGAATGCAAACATGCCATAGAATCTATGTCTGCTGTCGTTATCGATAAACAAATATATTATTACAAACCACCTGCAAAATTGAACCACGAATGCATATATGCATTAAACCGGCATTTGCACTCTTCCCAAACACAACCTAAAAAGCATAGGTGTAATTGCAGTTTGTTATATTACTGGATTTATACCTTGCTTTTCTTGAGAGATAGGATTTTACATCCACTCTAATCCCTTGGGGGAAGACAGCTCATTTATAAAAAGACAACGAAGCAATAGATCTAGCTGCTGATAGATGCAGTGGTTATAGACTTTGGAGAGCAAAACCCTAAGATAATACCTTCAGTTAACAGGCCAACACAATTTGATTAAGAAAAGCTAAGGAGCAAAGGGGGACTAAAAATTATCCAAACAAATTCAACTGTTCACATGTGAAATCTATCAGTTAGGACTTTGCCTATCTATGGTGATAGAAGGGCTAGATGCCGATGTTATTAAACTCGAAGAAAATGTTTCACAGGAACATTGATCATTTTGAGACCATTCCTAGCTAGGTACGAGGGCTTTGAGGGTGCTGGGGGACAGTTATTGTTGCTCCATTAGACGCCTAGGGTTTTCATGCCAAAAGCATAGTTCCTTAGGCAAATTTAAATGAATCAACAAAGGTGGTGTTTGGAAACAATTTTGTTTTCTGAGAAGCGTTTTCTCAGAAAATGGTGCTGTATAGGCATGCTGTTTTCTCATAAAATGTTTTTTCAGACACAGGAATTTTTCAATGCTATGTTAGTACACTGTTTATAGTAACAATAAAAACAGGAAAATAGTAAAAACGACATTTTCTCAGACCACAACTTTCCTGATTTCCAAGACATGGTCCGAGAAAACGCTTATTGAAAAACCGGTTAACCAAACATCAGGCATTTTTCGAAAAATCAGATTTCAAAATGGCGCTGATGTAGCACCATTTTTTTTTGATGATTTAGGAGGGTGTTTGACAACATGGTTGGTTTATACCCCCCTAAAAGTAGGGGTGTCAATTGGATTGGATTTGGTCCAATCCGGTCCAGTCCAATGTGAGTCCATTATAAATGGATCAGGCCCAATCCAATCCAATGAATATTTTGGACCAGTCCAATTCAATGTCTGGATCGTCCAATCTGTTCAAATTCATTTTGATTTAGATTGGTTTCAACCCAAACCTGGTCCATTGACACATATATTCTTATCTTGTATCAATAGACCAGATACTGGCTTAGTCCAACCCAATCCAATATAAGTATTTTATAGACGGACCAGGTCCAATCCAATTTAATAAATATTTCAGAACGGATTGATTGATCCAATCCAATGTCTTATTGGTCCGTCCAATTCATCCAAATTGATTTTGGACTGGATGGGTCCAATCCAAAACTGGTCCATTGACACCCTTACCTAAAAGTACCCTCCTAAATCTTTGTTAAGCCATTCAAATTTGCCTCAAGAACTATGCTTTTGGCGTGGAAACCATAAGTAAGGGTGTCAATGGACCCTCAAGACCCTATTGCCCTATTGTTTTTGTTTTGAAAAACAAAATCAGTCATGTTGTCCATCGCCCCAAAGTATTGGTTTTGGAGTTATGGATATGGAGGTGGAGTGGGCATTAAGTTTATATATTTGGGGCATTTTTGTTTCTTACATGCCACTAATTAAATTCTCCCAATTATTGTTATTCCCCAATCAATTATTCTATACTCCATAATTTTTATGGTATAGAAAACAATTAAGATTAATTATTCAAATAGGCCCATAATTTTCATGGTATAAGAACTACAAGTATATAAGATTATTCAAATAGGTTGTGAGACAAATGTTCCAGTTACTTGTCATAACAAAGTAAATTTGAAAATTTGACATTTAAACATTTCTCATTTATGTCAAAACATTAAATAAAAACAATTGATTATTAAAATTTATATATTTATAGATATTAGCAAAAAGTATTGGTTTCATATAAATATATGCATATTTAAGTTCTATGGTTTTTCCACATTTCCCAAGTGTGAACCATCATCTAAAAACTTGGATCTTGTGTATTGATGTACTTTTAGAGATTTAATTATTCGAAATCCCCAAATATATCCATATTTATTTTAAATTTTCTCACTGTGTCCATACATATCCAAAAGGCTATCTGATATATTTCTTAAACTTGTCTTTTTTATTATTGCTCCTTGTACTTCCATGCTTTGAAAATTGAGTTTAGCTCTTCCTGACTACTTACAATCAGCGTGGGGCCTCATACATTATTAGAACACAACAACAAATTAAGTCTAATTTATTAGTATTTTGGTAGGATATGTCTCTCACTAGATTATTTTATGGGTTTTATTTGTATTATATACTTCAATAATAGAGGTGAAAAGGGAATCAAAGCAAAACCAAAACAAAACAAAGCAAAGCAAAGCAACTTCACACAACAACAACAAACACGAATCATCTCACTTTTTTTATTCCAAACTCCAAACATCACACAACCACACAAACGTAACAAAAGCAAAGCTAATATCACAGTAGGTTCATGGCTCAACCCACTATAATGCGACGACAAACATTCACCTTCACACATCCAGTCAATGCATCTCCACCCATGTCAACGACATAGATTGATGGGATGCCAACAACCAAACAAGCAACCATTATTTCAGAGCTCACTACTACTGTCACGTCCCATCTTAATCACAACAGCAAACACCACTAAGGCCCCCGCCCAGATGAGACCGGGCGCTTAACGACGGAAACTCCTGACCGGCCGTGATGGCTCCACTTCGTCCTCTCGCAGCTTCACCAGAGTGTAGACACCCGCTCCTGCCACGGCCCCAAGAGTTGGTGCCACCAGATAGACCCACAGCGCCCTGTAGTTCCCGGCGGCAACCGCCGGTCCCAACGTCCTCACCGGATTCATGGAACCTCCGCTCGATGGCCTGTCAGTTGTCACACAAATTTTGGTCAGCCATGCAGCATAGCAGAGTCGGACAATATACTGTCTTCTATACAAAAAAGTCAAAAGAAGGGAGCTTTGTCTATTTGCCCAGAAGAGCTGATGAACCATCTTGTCACCAGGCCAAGCCATTTAGCCATTTGACCGGGTGACCAGGTTCAAGGGTCCATGACAAAGCCAAATCACTCATCATTAATTGGTTTATGCACACTTGGATCAGGTTCTATCTGTTAGGTGAAATGTCTTTAGTCTTTGGATGTTAGATTGCTTATCAAGTGGCAGAGTTTGTCCAGACAACAAGAGCGACATATTCGTCTCTTTGCGATCAAATTTCCCTTGCACCAGTACAAAATGCATGGAAGTACAAATCAGAAAAGTGCAATTCTGATTTTTTTTTTCTTTTCCCTTTGGATTCAACTTCATTCACACGGGAAATAAATAAAACAAGGTGAAAATTTGCATTCAACTAATTTGTAATTCCATACTCTTGCACCAGTGCAAATGAAATGTATAGCAAACAAATCAAGCCAAAAGTGCGTGGTTAGTACTAACCCGGCTATCAGAATGTTAAGCATCACTGTTGCCCCAACTGCTATTCCTGCTAATTCTCCCACCTGCAACAACACCAACGCCATGAGAGAGATCTAGAGATAGAGAGATAGAGAGATAGAGAGAGAGAGATTACCGCACGGGTGTCAGTGGCAACAGCAGTGACGACGAACAGGAGATTGAATGTGATGATGAACTCGAGAGCAAAAGCCTGGCCGTGGCTGACGGAGGGGACGGTAACTCCACCGGACAAGTAAGGATGGAAGACACCTTTGAGGGCAAAAGAGGCGCAAATGGACGCTGAAACTTGTGCAACGATATACGCAGGCACCTGCACCCAAGGGAAGTGCCGGAACACCGCAAAAGCTATAGTGAGCGATGGATTGAGGTGGGCTCCGGAGAGATGGCCGGTCGACAGGATCACGACCATCACGCCGAGGCCTGCACAGGCCGCGTTTCCAATGAGTGTCTCCGCCCCATTATACTTCTGGTTCACTATTGGCCCCGCTGTTGCCGCAAACATAAGGATGAAGGTTCCCACAAATTCAGCTCCCAACTACAAGCACCACCACATCAAGTTCATCCCAATTAGCCCCAATTCTAGGCTGTTCGTTTACAGTGCAATTTTCATTTGTACCGATACAAATGCATAAAGAGTGCAAATGAGAAGACTGCAAACCTTGGTCTTTATTTTTAATACCATTTTAATTTGCATTTTTCATACGTTTGCACCAATGCATATGAAATTGCACTGCATTAGATCGGGGACAGAAAAGATAACAAGTAGGGGATACATGGTTTTGTTAGCTACACGATTTCATTTCACTAGTACAAATGGATGAGAATGCAAATGGAAAGAGTACAAATTCAGATTTAAAGGAATATCCATTCCCTCCCCCTGAAAAATGAGAATTCCAATTTCAATTCTCATCTAAATAAAAAACATGAGGGTACTTGTAGTTGGGAGGGAATGGATTTGTAAATATTTAGGGTTCATTTGGTTTGCAGTTAAATCAGAATCTCTTTGAAACAGAATTGGAATGGTTTATTCCTTTACCTGTTTGATTTAGACTGGAATAACCCTTAATAAGGGCCGTTCCACCAGAAATAGTAATAAGATTTCGATTCTATCCAACCAAACAATTGGAATCAGCCAATTCCGACTCCGGACCATTTCGATTCCGAACTCCTTTTCCTATTTATGTAAATCAAACAGACTCTTATATTAAAGCAAAAATAACATGTGATATATTAATTATTTAATATAAAATAAGTGATGTGTATGTACCATGTATTGACAAATGCATACGTAGTGGACGGCCATGAATGAAGATGACTTATCACCAACTCTTAGAGATTCAATTTCTCTGATTTGTAATAGACATCATGCATGCATGCACATCCACGATTGATGTTGATGACTCCGATTCAAAAACCTTATCTTTCAACCAAAATACAGCCTGTTTCTCCTAGAAAATGAAAGCTTTGACTTCATCTCGTTCAGAAACAAAGTTTTATCTTATTTTATTCAAACCAATCAGCCGCTCTCGTTGGATATAAACCATGAGCACCCTACAGTGTTTGGGGCCAATGAGTGATGGACACGGTAGGGCGTTCATGGCTCACCCAATGGGAGCGAGTTCATTGGTTCACTTAACCACTCGTTAAGGAAAAATTATATTGCCGCCCGCCCTCGCACTTCTCATTTGTTTTTTATATGTGCCCACGTAAGATTCCGTCCGTGGGCCGCTTTAACAGCAAAGAAACAATGTGGCGAGATCAATTACTTGAAAGTTGCAATATAGAAAGGTGACTAAAGAGTAAAGGCCCAGGATTAACAGGGTTGAGTATTCGGTTTATTTTGTTAAAAATTAAATTGAATAAATCTAAATTTTAAAAATCGAAATAAAAAAAGAAAAACTGAATCAAAATATAATTATAGAAAAACTAAAATAATCAAAATCGAAAATTTTGATTTGGTTTTCGGTTAAAACTGAATTTTAATAATATATACTCTATTATATAATATATATTATGAAATTAAATTTCATTTTATTATATATTAATATATAAATATATCACATATTATATATAATAATAGAAAATTCGGATAATTCGGCAAATTCTAAAAATCAAAACTGAAAACTGAATTAAACAGAAATTGAAAAAACCGAATAAAAAAATCAAAACCGAAATTTTCGGTTCAGTTTTCGATTTTAATCGTATAGTGCTTACCCCTACCCAAGAGGGTTACGTCTTCTTCATACCACCCTACATTTTATGGCATGTGTAGAAATGATGAATCCCACTCATCAATATTCACCTTGTAATTGACTTGGGATTACAATGAGAATAGGACCCATCATAAAAGTTGGATCCCCCATATGTGGTGTCAGATCATGTTGGTAGAGTGTTGGAATATGTTTTGTTGACAAGAGATGGGACTCCTTATAATTTAGTTGATTATATCAATTAATACTTAAAATAATTAATTTTAAATTGAAAAAATAGCTTGATAAAAAACTAAAAAAAATCAGAAAAAGGTTGGGCCTTATGGGGCATATTTGAGAGAAATTTGAGGGTGAGGGAAAGACATTTGAAAGCAACTTGAATCCATGAATCAAGTGGGTGAGTAGTACAGTTGGGGCCTTTTTGGACCCTTAATCATGTTGTCATGCATGTGGACTGTTGATTGTTGGGCCACTAAAACTTTCTTCCCTAAAGTCTAAAGGGTTCCACCCACGGAAGCCCACTAAAATAATACGGTGAATTGTTTCTTTTCTGTACTTTTCTTTCTTAGTTTGGTTTCAGATCAGTGAATTGTTTACAGAAGCTGAACCAAGAATCTCAAAGCTCCCTTTTTCATTCTAGAAATTCGTTTTATATTGAAAAGTTGGAACTTTCAGTGGCTAATATCACTTAAAAGTCTAAAAATTGTTGGATCTGGTTAGAGAGCCGAATTTGCTCCTCACACCAACCTCACAGTATCTTGCTATTCTGCTATTCTGCCATTCATGGGGAGATGTTCCTAACATATGGCTGCGATGTACTGTAAGATCGGTGTGAAGAGTACTTTGTGAGAGCAAATCCGAATTCGTAACTAGGGTAGATAATGTTATCTAGATTAATTAACCAGATTAAAGCATGGTCAAAAACCAAATAAGGCTATATTTGGTTTGATAGACGATAAGAGAGAAACAGAAAGCTGAAGCTAAGAAAATGTTATTCAGAAAATTTGTAAAATTTTCCCACCCTACCAAATCAAACAAAGAAACCAAACAAACAAACCATTTGATAACAACTGAATTTATTGAACTGAATGACTTATTATTTTATGTTTTAGTGCATAAAATAATTAAAAATAAAATATTCAAAGATACATTAAGGAGCCCCTGACCTCAAACAATAAGCTTTTCATTTCAGCCATTTCAGCTTGTCATGAATTACCATCTAAATATTTGTCCTCAAAAGCTTAATTAGGTGATTTGGCCCACTTGATCTTCAAGTGGGACCCAGTGAAAGGTCAGTCCCTAACCCCAACTTCTTACCTATTTGACTTATACAAGGCCATTAACTAAACATAGCCCAGAGGACACCAACTGCATTGTCCTCCTTATTCTAAAACTGCATCAGATTGGAATTTTTCAGTCATTGAGATTGTTAAAATACTGAGGATTTGAGATTATGCATCGCCTACAATCACAATCATGGAAAATGGTATATTTCATCAATCCCCTAACTGTAACCAGTAGAATAGAGTTGATCTCTGAGTTCGATGATGGCGGATGGGGTGAGACACGTGCGAAGAAGAAAAAGGAGGGGGAGAGAGAAACAGTACCTTCCGGGTGAGGGAGACGTCAGGCGTGGGAATGTCGGTGAAACACGAGTGAGTCGAACCCAGAGCTGGATCTCCAACGGGAAAGCACTTGCATCGCGGCATCGTTTTCCTATCGGACCTCTCGTACGACAGCGAGTCAACTCTGTTCGCCGAGAACAGCGGCCCTCCTGGTGTCCCCGGGGTTGCCGGTGCCGACCTCGTCGGCGTTCCGTTCTCTTCCGCCATTATACTTTCAGCTGCTCTTGAAGATACAAGATAGAATTTTTTTTTTTCTGTTTTTGATTTTTTAAGGAGTTTGGCTGGGAGCCTGGGACTGATTAGCTAGAGAAGATGGAAGATTACATAATTTGCAGGTTTTTATAGAGTTTCTGCTACACGATGAACTGAATTTTTTCCAGGACTGATGACACTAGGATAGTGAAATTCCTCAAAGATACATGAAAAATAACAAAAAAAAAGACTTTTTTTTGGCTTTTTTTTTCTGGGTGGAGATGGCAGATAGAAACTAGACTGAAATTACATGTTTCGTAGGATTTTATAAATGTGCCACTAAGGAATAATGAGAACTGAACAAGCCAGTTTAACTACTACAGATGAGAAGAAACCGATAACTCCTGATACTGAAAAATGAGGAAAAAAATCTTTTTTTGGGTTTTCTTTTTTTTTTTCTGGGATTGAAAAACGAAAATTAGGCAAATTTACATGCTTGGAGAGCTTTTATAAAGGTATCGTCAAAGAACAGAGAAAATCGAGCGACCCAGTTTTAGAAGATCAAAACAGGCTAGAACAGTTGCAGAAACATGAAACTTAGAGCTTCTGAAAGTGGGTGGAGGGTATTATATATCGGGGAGGAGAACTGTGAGCTGCTTTTAGCGCGATTGAAGAAGCTGAGAATTGCAGATGGATCAACTGAAAACGGAAACCCAGATGGATGCGGAGAGGAAGCAGGAGAGAGACGAGATGGGCGATACGGAAGCACTGAAACTAACTTCAGATGGAGGTTGAATGCGGTGGAGGACTTCGAGGCGTGAATGCGTGTGTGAGAGTAAATGAAGAAGAATTCTGAGGATATATATATACAAAGGAAAGTGAAGGTCAATGCCTTCTCAGCGCATTCACAGCTAATAATGTAAAGAAGGAAACCGATTCCACCACCGATTCCAATAATAATTAATCCATTATAATAATAATATAATTCTAATAATGCATTAAAAAAGAGGCTTAATGTGCTGTTTTTTAAAGAAAAAAAGAAAAAGAAAAGAGTTAGTGTAAGTATGTCAGTGCGTCGGGTTAAGTGACAGAACCGCATGGACCCGACCCTATTGGGTTTGGATTAATTGGGTCTTGGGTTAGGGGCTTGGAATTTGGGTTGAGGTGAACCCTTGTCAAACTCGACAAGTTGACAATGCTGCAATCAAAATTTTGTATAACCTTGCTTGAGTATGTGTAGATGGGTTTTGTTGCCGAGTTGGGTTAGGGTCATAGATTAGGTTTCGTTCGGGTAGATCCAGATACGTACCGAACCCAATTCGTTGAATACTAATGCAACTAGTAAGAAAAAAAGAAAAAAAAATTTGGGAGAATGACCAATCAGCCCAGATCAGAATTTTATAGTCCCAAATTACAAAAGAATACATCTTAATGTGAATTGATGTCAAATTCACGAGCATGATGTAACTTATAGGGGAGAGGGCAAATAATAGGTTGGGCTGGAATTCATAATTCTGCATGATGTGTATCCGTACTTGTCCGAAAAAAATTTGCATGTACATAGTGAAATTAGTGACAGAATTTGACGAGAGAAGAGAAATCAGGAGGGTTTTTTATTTATGAAAGCATTTTGCTTGAATTGTTATTGTCAGTCCAAATGGAGTCTAATTGGGATGATGACTCATAAAAAAATATTAAAAATAATGGTAAAGTATAGACAGCCAGCTTTTACTCAGGGATATTGATACTTGGCCCCTGAGCATTATTTTGCAACAAAGACTCTTTCTCAACTTGTAGATTCCAACCCTTTGTTCCCTATTAAGCAATTTAACTGGATTGACAATAAAAGTAAAATTACTAAATTGCCCGCTTGAGATTTTATGGGTTCACAGAAATCACGCGTCAGTTTGGCAACGATGTCATTGGTTCAGAAAACGGTCATACATCAGTGTTATATCGGAAGAAGCGGTACTTCAGGAAATGTCTGTTTGTTTGGAATCGTTTTTTCATAAAAATTGATGCTTTAAGTCACGCCTTGAAAATTGAAAAGGTGTGATTTGGAGCAATGCCAAATTTGACATTTCCCGGAGGTGCAGCTCGTTGTTGCCAACAGGGACATGAGGTGGCAGTGACATGGACATGACATGGCATTGGATAATAGGTTTGAGTGCTGAAAACATTTCCAGAAGCATTAGTACCAAACAGAAAACATTGTTGTTGCTCCAGGAAACGTCCTACCTGACAATAACGTTTTCAAACAAAAAAAAGACAATTTTCTCAGAAAATGGTGCTTCCAACTCATACATCAGCTGCACCGTTTTCTGATGCTGTATCTTCAACATCGATGCTAAGCATCAGCTGCACAAAGTGTTCTCAAAGGTCTCTTTAAGATGAACTGTTGAAAGAAAGTTGAGATTTGAGAGAAACATGTGAGATTTAAGATTTTAGAAAATAAAAAAAAAAAACAAAGTCAAAAGGGTAAAATCGTCCCATAAAACAAGCGTAATTTGGGGTTTTAGAAATATATAATAAAATATTCCATGGAATTACCTGATACAAGGCTACAAGCCAATGGTGGGGGCAAAATATGGAATCCAAAAGTTTGAGGGGATAAGTGTAACTACCCCCTGAATACAGGGTGGCTATCTGTAATTTAGCCTAAAAATAAAACGGGATGAGAGAACCATCTATTGATTCCTAACTCGGTGTGTGTCATTTTGGTGTTAAAAAATTGAATATCAATGATATACATAATCAATCAACTGTGGGACCCAGCTCCAACAGGGGAAGACATATAGGACACCTCCGGATAAGAGATGAAGCAACATTGATTAGATGGTCTGTGGTAGGGGAATCATTTTTTCTCCATACCTTTTCCTACGTTTGTTGTTTTCCTGAAAGGTTTCTCTAACTGTATTGGATCAAATTAATTAGGTTTATTTTGGCAAAATTGGACAAAAAAGAACTGGATTTGGTTGAGCAGATAATTAGGTAAGTGGGTCTTGTACACCTACATATTTATTTTTAATACAAAGTATCTATTTATTGTTTACAAGAGATACCAATCTTGGGGGTGACAGCTTGACAAGAAGTGGTTCAATACAAGTAACAGGACCTAAAAGTGTTAAAAACAAAGAGGAAAAGAACAGAGTTCAGAAATGACAATTAACCAATTAATAATGATAATCAACTAAGGAAGGGGATGGAAATGGGAATGAGGATTTGTTTCACAATCTTAAACCTTGAATTTGGATTTAGATTAATTTAATTATGGTTAAAAAAATTAATCTATAGATTAATTTAATTATAACATTTAATAATTAATGAAGTAAAATTAATAAAATAAAACACTAATGGATAATATGAAAAAAATAATTATTCATAATTTATTATTTTTGTTAAAAACTATTAATATAATTAATCTAAATTATTAAATTATTTTTTATAACAAATTACTAAAATAAAAATTAATATAATTATTAGTTTCCATGATTTTATTGATTCTCAAAAAATAACCCTATTTATTAATAATTTTGCTCCTCAAGTTTTCACAAGAAAAATCCAAGATTTCATGTTAAAACTGGGGTAAATATACTCCTGACATCTACTACCTTTAACCCGTGCTAGATTTCCGGATGATCTTAAGGCTGCATTTGGAAACGATGTAAATGCACATTTACATGCTACAAATCATGAGACCTCCGATTCAGATGCATGCAAAACTGGGTTTTCATTTTATTTTATACTTTTCGTTTGGCAACTAACGATGCAAAACATGGGTGCTTCAATTCTCTCGTATAAAGAAGGGTCATGAATTTACTTTGTTAAAATAAGTAGTTTTATACCCGAAAATTGATCTTAAGACTGTGTTTGGTTGCAATGCAAATAAATTTGCACTGATGCAAAACCATGACAGTGCAAATGATTTGAATATAAATTCTGACCCATTTTTGTTTCAAATTTTAGCTTATTTTGTTTGATTGCAGTACACATGAAGTAAGTTAAGCAGAATAAAGCAAAATCAAAAACAAAATTAAATAAAAATTTACATTTTTAACATTTGCACTCTTATGCATTTGTATTAATGCAAATAAATTTGTACTGCAATCAAATACAGCCTAAGGGTATTTTTACAACATTTCTAAACACATGCAAATCAGGACTAAGGTGCAATAATGCACTGAACTGACATTTGCACCGTTCCCAAACACAATCAAGGTTCAATTTGGAAGGAGTACAAATGCAAATACAAATAAGTGCAAAACCTCATATTTTGTATTATTTTTATGTATTTATACTATTCCCAAACTGGGCCTAATTTACTTTGCTTAGACAGACAAAGAATGTGTCAGCAGATGGAATGAACATATTCAATGGTTTACTATCTCTTCCATCTCTTCTCTTTCTGTACTTCCTTTTATTATTTCTTAAGCCAAAATAGGGCAATAAAGTCAATCTATTTAACTGAAAAAGTGTAATGAATTTGAAATGATACCCAAACCACAAAGAAAAGGACTACATGAAGACCACGTAAAAGTGTAATGAATTTCGCAAGCACAAGCTTACTGATCTCTCACTAAATAAACTCTTAGGAGGAGAAGAGTTCCACCAGCACAAGCTTTTCGAAGCCAATTGATTTGTTGAACATAACGCCCCACTAAGCTATTGTCTGGTTGATGTTATTTTGCGTGTATCACATCTATCAATCTCATATCGTTTTACTTTTCTAAGAGTCCTGATAAGACTTCTAAGCTTTGATTGATAGTGGGTGTAATCTCCACTCTTGATGAATCAAATCCAGTGCTATGTGTTCTCAAAATCCCTTCTATAATCTGACCTTTTCAGATTCCCTTATATCTTCATCATCATCATCATCTATGTCTCATCCCCATTATATACATACACATATGAATTCTGTTTCATTATTCCGTTTTATTTAATATCATTTATCGTTAAATTATAAGTGCTGAAACACTCTAATAAAAGACAAATCAAATTTGGATCACGACCCTAAAATTTTGACAAAACTTTCAGTGATGATAAAAGAAAAATTTGTAGCCCTTCCCGGAAATAAGGCTTGGATGATGATATTGATGCTAACCAAACACAGCCCATCCTTATTTGGGCTAAAGGACTAGTATTGTAAGACAATCTTCCAATTGGTAAGCCTGAAAAGGAAAACTCATTTATAAATGCTTATTACAAAGCAGATCAAACGATTACAAGCAAGAAAAGTCAAAGCAAAAAGTGACCTTGAAATATAGGCATAATCTATCATTATGTAATAAACCAAAACTGCTAATATAGAAAATAGTACTAGCTAGTAGGATAAAAAAAAGAGGGCACAACTTTGTTTTTTTATTGTAGAAGTGGAGTAGTCCCACATCTATCACATACATTGCATGCAGTGCTGTGGGTGGATGAAAGGAGTTCGGATCTTCTGTACATAGGGAATATTGGTTATACTTTACATCACGGATATTCCTAGTGTACAGCTGGATGTACATGACCAGTAATGTATTATGGTCAGCAGATCCGGACTCAAACGTAAGGGGCTTCCTATGCACATGTTCAGGGGCGGAGTTAGGGGGACTCATGGGAACCATAGCCCCCTCTATAATCCAGAAATCCACACACTGAATACATTTTTTTATGTAAGTTTCTTTAAACACACCAATGGAGTTAAGGGTGACGCTAAGCCGAACTAGGTCAATAGCCCCCCAACCACAAATATGAGAATATAACCCACAACCTCGCTTTGATACCACTTTGGATCCATCGCTATTACTACATCCAAAGCATTCAACCTCGCTGAAACAGCTGAATCAAAGCCTTTAATTTGTTGCC